CATCTGTTGGGTCACTGAAACTTTCCTTTGACTGCTCTCAAAATAGTTAATATTAGCAACACTCGTGTTCTGACTGGAGGAGTAAAAAGAGCAACTTTAAGAGCACTTTAAAGATTAATTTCCATCTAAGCTGGGAAGACCTTACGTAACAAGAAGCCACAAGGTTGTCTGTCATGACTCTCTGCAGAGCAAGATGCCTCAAATAAGGAGAACCCCCGGGCACTTTGTCCTCTCCAGCCACCCCGGTGGAGCACCAGAAGAGGAGACCTACAGCAACCTCCAGACAATCCCAGACACCACAGAGCAAATGGAGTTTGATATCAGGTATCACCACATCAATGCTCCTCCTGTCCTCCCCCCAGCACGGAGGGCCAGACTTTCCAGGAGACTTTGCTAAGCCAAATAATCGCAGTGGGTGCTGCTGGGGACGGGAGAGATGCAAGTGTAGATAACCTGTAGTGCAGTGCAAAGTGTCTGTGAGGCTTTTAATCTCGCACAGGGACACAGATGTGGCTCTTCATTGGAAACCCACCTGTTATAACAAGCAGCTGAAGAGGCCATTTTTACATAATTCTCCAGGCGCCGCTCACAGCGAGCTGGTGCTGCTGCTTTGGGTTTGGCTTAATCCCATACGTGCATTTTTTTCCAGCTGAAGAGTCAGGGGCTGCCTTTCTCCCCCGTCTGTGAAAATTCCTTTCTGTGGGTGGTTTTTGTTTTGGGTTGGTCTTTTTTTTTTTTTTTTAGTTGATGGACTGACCAGACCAAGCCCAAGTTTTTTTAAGCAGATCTGTAGAATTAAGCTCTTAAACCCAGTTGACTATTCAGCAGATCTCACACAAGCAGATCTCAGCAGAAATGCAAGTTAAAATAAAAATGTATATTCCTATTATTTGTGTACCAAAATAAACACAAAAACCCGTGCCTGAGAGAAGCTAAATCTAACTGGAGATTTTCATCAGGAAGGCATAACCAGTTTTTGGCATCAAAATGTTGCCACAGATGTTGTTTTCAGGTTTCTCTGTGCCCCAGAACCCCCCCTAAAAGCCTTTAGGTTTTGGTCAGTTCATACCAGGGTACCACCCAATAGCTGGAGACCCAGACTGCATCATGGAAATCACTGGAGTAAAAATGTTGGATGACAGAGGCAACATTTTTGTGAGATGAAATATTTTGAGAGGTTCTAAGTGAAGGCTGTTTGAATATTTTAACTCGGGGGGGAGGGGGTGAAAGAAAAAGCAACCCTAGGCCAGAATTCCATTGTCTTATATAAAAAAATGAGACACTTAAAAAAATCAACACTTTTTTTCCAAAAGTGCCAAATATGCAGCTTTTTAAGAAAACATCAAGGCACTTCTTTCTGCATATAAACGTGGGCGTGAGATGCTTAAATCAATAAAACCATAAATAACGTGGGGGGGAAAAAAAAGAAACCTAGACCTTAACATTTCCCTTTTACATGCCCAGCTGTTGGGGGAGTAACTGTACCTGACACTTGCAGAGTGCTTTTAAGGACTTGCTGTCGCAGAATTCTCCTCTAACGTGCCCATCTTGCAGCTCAGCGACTCAGGTTGGCCGCCAGCTGGCCCTGATCGGGGATGAATTTAACAGGAGGTACCACAGGAGCTTAGAAGATACACTGCTTCACCTGGCACGACTGTAAGTCACCTTATTGGCAGATCCTTCTAAAAACCAGGTTAGGTAACCAAAAATTGGTGTTCCTGTACGCAAAATAAAAAAAAAAATAAAATTATAGCTAGTGCTGCTGCCTCGTACAGAGTGTAAGGAAGGAAAACAGACGCTGCAGCTTGTTTTACAGGGAAAAGCTTTAGCATGTAAATTGTTACCACGGACTGCAGCCACTTAAAGTCAAAAGGCACGAGATCGCCACTTAATCACTTAATTCAGAAAGCAAATTACCTTTAGCTTTCGGAGGTCTGCACCCTAAATATTTAGAGAAATATACACCCTAAATATTTATAGAAATATGCAGGTACACTTGAGACTTTCAGGAAGGAACATATTGGAGGTTTTTGTTTGGGTGTGAGGTTTTTTTTGGGGGGTGGTGGTGGTTGTGTGGGTTGTTTGGGGTTTTTTGGGGGCTTTTTGGGGTTTGGGGGTTTTTTCTGGTTGATTTTTTTTTTTGGTTGTTTTTTTTTCTTGGTTGCTTTTTTCAATTTTCTAAACTTCGGTGTTTTCTTTGCCAGTTTTTAGAATGAATTTTCCATCCCCACGCTTTCTTTTTTTGTTGTTCTGTTTCCTTTCAATCCTCAGGGTTGCTATCAGTGTTTTCCAGACGTTGAATGTTATTAGAAGTGTTATAAGAAGCTCTGGGAACATTTTGAGCAGTAACTGGGCGAAGCGGATCCTTGGCTGTGGAAGCTGGGTATGGTCTCCTCCTCTTCTCCCAAATTTTTGTTGACAAGGAAGTAACAGCAACACTTAAAAGGGAATTAAGTGTCAATGAGTAAAGGATATAATGCAGCTCTAGGTTGGGGTTTATTCCTTGGTGCCCTGTTTTTTCCCATTAGGCTGGAATTTCTCATTTATTGCCAGGGTGTGCTGCTCAAATCCCACACAGCTCCAGGGATTCCTGGCAGAGGGAAGGCATCTCCCACTGGAAAATGCTGTGAGGGTCTATCCCAGGGGAGATAAGCAGTGCCTGCTGCCAGCAGTGTTCACCCTGGAGGACAGAGGAAGGGTCTTTGCAGCTGGATTTGACACTTGTCACCTTTTTTGCACCGTCTTTTTGCTGCTTGTTATCCCTAATTCCTGCCTCCCTTCTCCCACCAGGTTCCCAGGCTTCCTTTCAGGTGTGTCTGCCAGAAGCTGGTGCCTGCAGCCCTGCTGGTCGCTGCCTTTTGGTGGGCCCTGAATTGTGGACTGTAGAGTGAACACAGGGAATTACAACAGGAGGTCATTGCTGGACTCTGACCAACATCATCAACACCCCGGTGGTGGCAGCTGGTTTGTTTTTCAAATGTACACTGATAAAAATCTCTTTAATATTTAAAAACCTAGGCTAGTGCTGGGTCACTGCTGTTTCATTCTTTTTTAAAGATTTAAAAATGTTTAAAATAAGGAGGTTGTTGCTGGATAACTGCCTGACTTGCTAGTTTTGAAATGTGACTCCAGGCGATTACAAAGTCTGTCTTTTTTTTGGTGTGTGTGTGTTTGTTTTAATGCAATATAAAGTGTCTATTTCATATAAATGAGTTTGTTAAAGAGAACCTGGATTTGAGGAAGACTGAAGGCATGCTGGACATCCTTTCAATTTTAACACTGTAAAAGCAAGAGTAAAGATTTAAACCATGATACTTTTTTTTAAAAATTAAATTGTTGCTTCAAACCTTCTGCAGTGTTGTCCACTTTATTTTCCAAGACACATTAATGGCAATATCTTGTCCTGTACTTTTTGCTGTCTAAGACTACAGGCAGGCTGTGTTTGATTCTTGTGTAGTAGACACTTACAGACTCTCAGTGAGAGAAAAACGAAAGTGCATCTCTGTGGTTTGGGTATTCCCCTCAGCACAGGGGATTCCTGCTGCTTGCCCAGCCAAGCAGCTACTACAGTCAGTGCATTTTTGAGACAGGAAAATGCAGTATTTAATGGATTTGTGATCGAAGCACTCACCTGAGAGGCTGGCATTTCAAGTCCCTGCTCTAAATCAGACAGGGAATTTCAACCCCTCTTTTCTTCAGTGAAGACAAATGCCAAGTCAAGTCAGATTTAGGGGTGTTGAGGAATGTGCTTCCTCTCCTTAATGAACGGTGCCCAAATGCCATCATGATCCTAACTGCCCATCTCAGAAAATCCTTCTGGGAAAAAGAAAAGCAAAGCTCAACTGGACTATTTCAGGAGACTGATGCACTGCCCATTTCATCCCAGAGCTGTGTGGGACCACTCTGCTTTCCCCCACTCTTGCAATCAATAATGCAAGGCTTTGAACACAAGAGAGGGGATGTTCATCATCCAGCACGGAGCAAAACACAGTCCCCAGGAACAGAAAACCCAATCCCATGAAGGAAACAAGTGAAACACAAAGCAAACAGCATCCAGGTCCTTCTTCCCACTCATTAAACAAGGCCCCCCAGATGCAGGGTTCTTAGGATACAGACTTCCCTTCAGCATCACACACTGACAAAGGCACAAAGGTTACCCAGTGGTTTGCAAATAAAGATTTCTAGCATGATTTTTCCCAAAGAGCTTTAATTCTGGGCAAAGTTACAACAACATGTAATAAAAAAAAAGAAAAAAAAAATTACGGTAAGAACACTACAAATAAAATACATTTCTCCAACTTGAAAATTCAAATAATTAAAAAGAAAGGATAGAAATTTTAAAACACTGTACTAAAAAAAAAAGGTGCCACCAATGGGCCATGCTCAGTCCCAGCTATCATAAAAGCTGGTTTGAAAGGCACTAATGTTGCATTTGGTCTTAAAAGGTGTAGTCAGAAGCTTCTAACAGAGCACAGTCCAGTGTTTAATAACATGAGTGGGATTTAGTTGCAATATTCTAACCACCTATTGAAAACTTTGGGATGCTTTACTGAGTAAATGACACCTTACCTGTAACGTGGGAGCCTTCACTGAAATAATTTTCTTTGCAGTGACCCCAGCCCTTAATTGTCAGCCTCTAACAGTCCAGTGGTGAAGCTGACAAATTCTTCTGTGTTTCAGTAATTGTTAATGTTTACATGTGTTGCCAAAAATGTGGAATTTGTGCTGTAAGGGCAGGCACAGCTGCCAACTGCAGCTCACAAAAGAGCTGTTTAATGATACAGTCCACTTAGCAATCAGAATCAAGGCCAGTGCTTTTAATTCACCCTCCCTCCCAGGACAACCTGCTGCTCTCCAGCTCATCACTTCCTGCTGCCAGGAAATGTACACATTTTTGTTGAGCTTTTTTTTTTTTTCTTCCCCCCAGTGAAACATTTCTTTGTGGAACTTTGCACTGGAGGGAAAATTACTGTAGGCCAAGAATGGTGCACCCCAAAGCATTGAAAAGAGCAAGAAAAGCTTCGTAGTTTATTGATAGTTTAACCTTAAGAAAATCACGTTCCTAATAACATCTGCATTACTCGGCTGCTGCCTGGAAATATGGGAACAAAATGAAAGGATTTTACATAGATGAACATCCCACAAGTCAGGTGAGCTGCAAAACAGGAACATCAACCAGGTGGATCCTCTAAATGCACCCTCGAGCCCAGAGAGAGCCCTCCACAACTCAGCTCATTTCCACCCCTGTATTCATGCAGAAGATCCCTGCACCAGACAGCCAAGGCCACCAACTTTAACTGGAATCCATGCAAAAAAAAAAAAAAGGTATTGGAAAAGAAAAAATAAAAGGTAAAAAAAAAAAGGAAAAAAAAAAAGAGAGGGAAAGATGCTTGCAGGATGGAGGCCAAACAATGTTATTTGGCCTGTTTGCTGACAGCTTTGCAGTCCCAACACAGATGGAAGAGCCAAACTCTGCTCTCCCCTTCCACACCTGAGGCACTCAGAGAAGGAAAACGTTCATTGCAATGAAGCACACGGTGCTCTTTTCATCAGGAGAAGCCACGAACGTTTAAGACTTCTTCTCTTGGGAGCACAGAGTTTTAAACCAGAAATAAAACCCAAGTTGCGTGGATTTTTTTCAAAAGGTCACTTAAGTCTCTGCTGCTTCCTCATCTTCCAGAGCATCCACGTGTTTATATTGTTTCCAGGCCTTTAAATTACATTTTCTGAGAATGGCTCCCAGTTGATTCCCAGGCCCCACCTCGTAGGTGTAAGGGAATTCTGTTCCTTGTTTCCTTTCGTACACCGAATGCATGGTCTGTTCCCACAACACAGGTGACACCACCTGCTTCACTAACAGCTTCCTGATGTGCTTGGAGTGCATGTACTTTCGGCCATCCACGTTGGAATACACACACAGCAGCGGCTTCTGGATCTCGATGGATTTCAGGACTTCGGCCAAAGGCTCTACTGCTGGTTCCATAAGTCTGGTATGAAAAGCCCCACTGACTGGGAGCATTTTTGTACGGGTAAAATGGTATTTTCGGGCATTCTGCTGCAAATACTCCAAAGCCTGTAACAGGGAGAGAGGGAGAAAGTGAGAGTCTTGCACAACAAAGGTTTTCTCAGTCGCCACACAAGAACCACCTCATCAGACTTATGGTGATAAAGGGATTCCTCTTCCAACCCAACAACTGAAAGATCTCTGCAGGAATTCTGGGTGTCCTAAAAGAATCACAGAATCAACTAGGATCACTACAATCAACTGAACACGTGCTGGAAAAAAACCCCCACTTTTCGGACAAACTAAGGCCGTACATAACACCCACGCAGAAGTGCAAAGCAGCAGTTTTAAAAGAGTGAAACGCCAAGTTCAGCTGAAGGAACAGTTACCGTGAAGCAGTAGTTAGTTATCCCGCAGCAGTACCTGTAAGTGTCCTGCAATGACTCTGCTGTCCGGGAACAAGTAGTTGGAGACCGTGCACACGGGGTTCTCAATGCCCAGCGACTCGCAGTGTTTGCGGGCTTCCAGGCAGGCAAATTTGTAATTCGCCTCTGGCCGGCCCATAACCGAGAGCATCCCGCTGGGAACAGCCTCGGCCGCCTTCTGCATGGCCTCGGCGCGCACCTTCACCGCGTACAGCGCTGGGGAGAGACAACACGGCCGGGTAAATAAACGCCTTAAAAAAAAAAGCGTCCCAGCGGGAACACGCCGGGAAGGGGCTCGCGATGCTTTTAGGGGG